CTGAAAGTCACTCCCACTGCAAGTTGGAGTAATACTCAGTGGAGTTGGGGAGGATTCATGTACCCTGGGACCACCCTCTGTGGTGTGAGCATGACAGTCCAGGGGCACTAAGCACCCCCCACCCCCTTGTGTCTGTACCTGGCAGTGCTAGGATAAGGAGAATGCATGTCAGGATTTGAACCCAGAGCTTTGCATATACTAAGCATGCCCTCACTCACATGTTCCCTGAATAGTAGTTTTAATGAACAAAGAAAGTTGATCACCTCACATTGGTTTGAATGTGCAAGACATGTGATTTTTCTACATCTGCACTTTTCAAACTGCACTTCTATACCTGCTTTAGCAGTGCTCCGTCACATATGCAATGCAACAGGCCTCCGAAAGGCATTACACATCACAGGGTGTATCCTTGGAGTCCCTTCTGAGAGCTGACATTCCCAAAGGCTCCCCAGGCATTCCTAGGAAAAGGGAATGAGAAGCCTCTTAGAGACACAGGATCCACTTGTGGGTCAATGAAGAGGTCATAATCTACTTTTAGGCCAAACTGCACAGTGCTCAGGGCTTTATTCTTTGTTCTGTGCTCAGGGATCACTCCTTGCAGGGCTTAGGGGGTCCAGAGATTGATCTGGGTTGGACCATGTTTGGAAAGCATTTTACTGACTGTACTCTCTCTCCAAACTGCAATTATGGTCTTTTCATACCCTTTTCAACATGCAACAAAGAGAAGAGCAGTAGTCAGTGAGAGATGTGAAGCCTTACTACATTAGCTAATTCTGGTAAAGAAAGGACTTTAATAAATATTGAACCAAGTGGTGCTGAGGAGCCCCAAAGGCCCCTTATGATGTACTGGTCACCTAGGAATGTGGCTCTATGCAAGGGCCATGGAATGCAGTGATGCTCTGGTTCTGTGGTCTTGAGGATAACCAGAATCACCCAGTGATTCTCCAAGGCCTCTTGGGGCACCCCATGTGATGCTTGGTGGATATATGGTGCCAGGAATCAAACTAGAGTTGGCCACATGATGCTCATGTGCCTTAATTCCTATCTGTCTGACTCAGTACTTGAGATTTTAAGTATTTTGGGAAGCAAGTTATGAATTCCTAGCATGGGAATGACCTGATTTATCTAAAGGATCAACTGATTACTCTGTGCATTATAATTTGCAAGCAGCAAAGTGAACTGTCCATTAAAGAGTTTTCCAGTAATCCAAACTGGGGAGGGGGGAAGGCAAGTTGAACTAGAATTGTGACCATGGTGATGCCAGTTCAGATGTATTTGATTATTGTCAGCACGATTTGCTTAAGGACCAGAGCTTCAGGTAAAACACCACTTTTGTGGCACAGTGAGAATTTGTCACCAAGTCTTGTGATTCTCAATTCACAGCTCCAACTTACATCAGCCTCTCCTTGTCCCAAGAAACATTAGTGCTTCACTCCACATTATCACGTGAACTATTCAAGATGTATATTTTATAATTAACACAAGTGAAAGCTACTATATATGAGGCATTCCTGAGGTCTAACCCTCTGGTAACTAGTTCAGACTTATCAGATATAGCAAAGATATTTAGCTGTTTATTCTATTGATAAGCCATACTACATTTTAAAAAATATTAAGCAAAGACATCCTTCAACTAGATGCGCATAGTTAGGAAAATACTCTGCTTATTCTTCGTTAGAAAACTGAAAATCTACAATGCTTTTGTTATTTTTGGGGTGCCCACATAATACAGTGCTCAGGGCTTGCATCTGAGCCCCTGTACTATATCTCCAGCCCATTTTTATGTATTGAATATCTACCCATCAGATTCTTTGCTTCTTTTTCCTTTTCTTTGGTCAGGAAATTCATCATACCAGGAGGTCCTCAGGGCCTTCTCCTGGCTCTGTGCTCAGAGGTTACTCCAAATGGTGCCCAGGGGACCATGCGGTGGCAGCATGGGGTCTTCTGCACATGCTCCAGCTCTCTGAGCTTTCTCCAGTCCAGATGAAAGTGTGTGGGGCCAGGCATGGGCATGGGCACACATAGCTCCATTCCTGATTCTTTTATCTCCCCATGAAGGACTCGATGGAGAACACAAGATGTTTAATGCAAGTGTTTATGTAAGAAGGTAAAAGAAACAGTAATTTTATTGGCGCCAAAGTGCAGATGTAAGGAAAAAGGAAAGTAACAAAGGCATTCCCAAGCCCGGGAGTGGAGAGCCCTAGGGGAAATACTGCTGGTTGCCTGTTTCATCTCTTTAGACTTTTAGTGTTTCCTTATTTTTCCCCATTGGCCTCCCCGAGTCGGGGGGGGGGGGGGGGGGGGGGGGGGGGGGGGGGGCAGATTTCTGAGCTCCAAGATTTTAACTTATTTTATGTATTAGAGGTACCATAGCAATTGTATCCTGCCAGGTCTGTGTCTTTCTCTAGGTAGTCAAACACATTAAACAAATTGTTAGTTTATAAGGTAGTTCTAAGCAGCCAATAGGGTTTATTTGCCATGTTGGGGGTGGGGGGTGTTGGAACCTTTAAATTCAACTTTCCAGAGAGCCCATTTTTATACAATTACACTTGTGTCCTTGTGGCCGACCTGAATTCGATTCCTCTGCCCCTCTCGGAGAGCCTGGCAAGCTACCTAGAGTATCTCAGCAGCATGGCAAAGACTGGCAAGCTACCCGTGACTCACTGACGCCAAATACAATAACAAGTCTCATGGGCCCGCTCGAGCAAATCGATGAACAACGGAAGGACAGTGCTACAGTGCTACAGTCCTTGTGAGAGCTGAGTTTAAGGAGTTAAGTCACAAGGCCTTAGCCTAGATGAATTTAACCCCTAAATCCCCACTCTGGATGATGAATACCCCAAAAGGATATTTATCTTTCAGGGAGACAGAAAACTGGGTGACTGATGTGGTTTTTCTCACTGTCATAAATTAGGGCTGGTGCCCAGCTTGGAGTATTGCTCGCCCTCCTCCATCATTTGTTGTGCCCCTTGTAACCTCACCCATACTGTTTTCTACCTTATTGCCTGATACAACCACCAGATTCTTTTTTGTTGTTTTTATTTGGGGCGGGTGGAGCAATAGCACAGTGGTAGGGCATTTGCCTTGCCTGTAGCCGGCCCAACCAAGCTGGGTTCGATTCCTCCACCCCAGCAAGCTACCTAGAGTATCTCGCCCAAGCGGCAAAGCCTGGCAAGCTCCTTGGGACGTATTCAATATGCCAAACACAGTAACAACAAATCTCAGGATGGAGACGTTACTGGGCCCGCTTGAGCAAATCAATGAACAAAGGGAGGACAGTGCAGTGCAGTGCTTTATTTGGGGGGCTAGACCTGGTAGTACTCAGGAATCACCCCTGGTGGTACTCTGGAGGATCATATGAGTTGTCAGAGATTTAACTAGGGTCTGCTGTGTGGAAGGCAAGTGCCTTACCTGCTGTACTCTGGCCCAGCCATCAGGTTCTTGACCTGTCAGAAACTACATTCAGCTGGTAACAAAACATATTTGGCCATACATTGTGTCAATCACATTACTAGACATAGAAAACAAAAACAATGGGTTCCTTTGGGTCAAATATATAGATAAAACGAATTTTTTTTTAATTTAGAAAAAGAAACAATGTTTTTCCAAGGTAGAACATTAAACAACTCATCACAGTGTTACGGCAGAAAGAAAAGCTTTATCTTGGAATTTTCGGAGAAACAACTGGTGGGGTAAGCATAAGGTTCTAACAATAGCGATCAGATTAGCCAGGTAGGATACACTAGGCAAGGAAAATAGAGCACCTAAAGTTAAAGGCAAGTTTCAGAAGCCTGGGTGCTTGAGTCCACACCCAGGTGTAATAGGATTGGGTCATTATTGGCTAAGGGTGGAGGTGGCAATTAATTGGAGGGCGGCTGCAAACACCAGCTGAGTGGCGCAGAACTCATGCGTGTATTTGAGCAAAACAAAGCACATATGTGGCTTTGCTTTTAGGGTAAGCTATAAACAGGTGCGGTGGAGAGCAAATTTTTTTAATGTTTATAAACATCTTAGCATTTATCGGTGTATGTTAAGATGCTAACTAACGACTTCTACATAACTTTCTAAAAAATAAAAGAGGCATTGTGAAGTTGTTTCTCTGAAAACGGCCCAAAGAACAGAATTATGCATCACCTAAGGAACAAAAGCGAGGAAAAAGGAGTGGTTTTCTATCGCCTCATCCCGCCCCACCCCCACCCCACAGCTTCCGTGCCCGCGCGCCGTTCACTTCCAAGCGGGCAAAAACTCTTGATCATCGATGTGATAATGCTTTTTAAATGTTGAACAGGGCCGGGGCCTTCGTAAGCAGTCCACGATTTATGGTTATGAGCTCGACCTTAGGCCTGTCTGAACCATTTGGGATTCCGTTCGTTGTTCCATTTCCAGGGGGCAGAAACAGGTCACACAGATGGTCTCGGAGGCGGCTGCCAGTCCTGAAAGTCTACTCCAAGTATGCATCCAAAAAAAAAGAAACCTGCAAGAAAATAAAAACAAATTTCTGAAGAAACGGATAAAGTAAATTTCAAAAAGAAAAAAAAAAGAAATGGCTCTCTTTTCACGGGGCTGGGCGGAATCCACATCGACACGAGAGGGAGTGGACCGAGAGCACAGGAAGCGCCGGTAGATCCCACGCACCTCAGTTCCCGGCCGGGAAACACACCACACGCCCCCACCCACCCTCGACCAATCGGCTGCGCTGAGCCCGCCTCCCTTCCGGGTCCCGGCCCCGCCCCCCGGGCCGAGTCACACGCTCCCCGCCCCCCAGAGGCGGTCGGAACCACGCCTCCTCCGCGCCGGGCCCCGCCCCTTCCGGGAGAAGTCCCGCCCCCCGTGGAGGGCCCCGCCCTCTCCGCCCCCGTCCGCCCGCGAGCCGGGCTCTTGCGCTGCCACCGAGTGCGGGCTGGCGGCGGCCACGTCCACCCCCTTCCCCGGCCCTCGACGCTCTGAGGTCACCGCCGGGGCCGGACCGCGGGGGGTGGGGGCGGGGGGCGGGGGGGCGGAGGGAGCGAGGGAAGATGGCGGCCGGGGCCGGATATTGGCACCGCCTCCCCCGCTGCTGGAGCCGGCGCAGATGAGGCGGCTCGGCTGGGGCCAGCGGCGCTGTGGAAGCGGAGCTGGGGGCTCGGCGGCGGCGGTGGGGCCTGGCCCTGCTCTATGCCGGCGCCTCGGCTAGCGTGAGCGGCGGCGGCGGCGACGCCTCTCCCCCTCCCTTCCCGGGGCGGTGAGTCGGAGCGGCGGGCCGGCATGGAGGACGTGAACTCCAACGTGAACGCGGACCAGGAGGTGCGCAAGCTGCAGGAGCTGGTGAAGAAGCTGGAGAAGCAGAACGAGCAGCTGCGGAGCCGCTCGGGGGCCGTGCAGGGCGCCGGCTCGCTGGGGCCCGGCAGCCCCGTGCGGCTCGCCGCGTCCAACCCGTCGTCCGGGGCGGCCACGCCGCGGGGCTTCCCGCTGGGCCTGGGCGGCCGGCCGGGCGGCGGGACCGGCGCGGGCCCCCGGCGGACGAGCAGCGAGGAGCTGCGGGACGCCGCCTCCTTGCTGGCGGCGGGCGAGGGCGGCTTGCTGGACGAGGTGGAGCCGCTGCGGCCCGACGAGCTGGAGCGCCTGTCAGGCTGGGCGGAGGAGGAGGAGAGCTGGTGAGCTCGGGGCGCCCGGGCCGGGCCGGGCCGGGCCGGGCCGGGCGGGGCGGGGCGGGGACGGGCCCGGGCCGGGAGGGGGCGCGGGCGCGGAGCAGCTCCCCAGAGCCCCCCCACCCCGGACTCCACCTGGGCTTTGTGTGTCCCCTCCGGGGGCGCTCGGGGCCCCGGCTTCGGTGGTGGCGGGCGGGGAGGGCAGCGGTGTTGGGGGCTCGGTCCAGGCGCGCAGAGAGAGGATCGGGGGCGTGCAGCCGCGCCTCCTCGGGGCCGCCGTGGACCCTCCCGGATCGGGCCCCTCCGGGTGGGCCCCGCCTGGGAAGTCAGAGGTGGAGACCCACCACCTGCCTGCCTTGGGCAGGAACGGCTCCTGCTTTGTGTCCGACCCGGGCTTTCCGGATGGTGGCCTGGGTGGGCATTTGGGGGTGTCGGGGAGGGTTGCAGCATAGCCCAAGCCTGTGCGTGTGTTGGGGGGTTTCGGGTCGTTTCGTTGTTCTTGTTGTTGTGGGGGGGGATCACGGATCTGTGGGCGGGGGGTGTCATGGGACTCAGCTCTCCCCTAGGAGCGGAGGGGTGAACGCCGGCTTTGTGTGCACGGGGCAGGGGACGTGCTGCTTTGTTGTGCAGAGAGGGGTGTCCCCGGGTGCAAGGAGAGGGCTGGCTCCGGTTGTCCGGAACTGAGAAGTGACAGTTGTCACCGTCGTCGCCGTCCAGTCCCTGGGTCCCCTCCGGGTCGAGGGGAGGGCTGACCCGTGTTTGCAGACCTACGCCAAGGCCGTTTTGTGGTCGGCCACTCGGGATGAAATTGTGACCCACACCGGAATATCACAAGCTGTAAATAGAAAGGACAAGGAGGGCGTTTGCCCTCCTCTTCGATTACAACAGTGTGAAGCGGTCGTCTCCGGGACGTTCTTTGACTCTTCCTTTGCCCCCTGTTTAAAAGTTCAGTTTCTCAGCCCCACTGTCTGAAATGGAAACTTCTAAGGTGGCGAGGCACGGGCTGTGGAATCCTTCTTGGATCTGCAACTCTGCGGCCACCGAGGTAGGGAGTGAGCGCTTTGCCCAGCCCAGGCCCTACCTCCTGCTTAGCTCCTTGACCTTGGGCAAGTTACTGAGTCTGTTTCCTTCCTCTATTTGATGGAGAAACTAATAGTTAGTACCTCTCACAGCGTTGTGAAGCATTGAAGAGAATCCAGGTATGCTTTTTATTCCTGGGTCTCACACTTAGTAAGTTCTGCAACACTAGCTATTGTTCTTTAAGACTGGTTATTTAATTTAGGGGTCTGGGGCCCCTCTTGTTTCTGGGGAACCTTGGGCTGCCAGGGTGTCAACAAGGGTTGGCCATAAGCAAGGCAAGAGTCCTAACCACTGTACTATTTCACTGCCCCCCCAGCCCCCCCCCTTTATGTAAAGCAAGAGATGTTTAGGATTTCAGTGTTGATTCTTGTCAAGTACCAGAGTTGTGGTCTTGTTGGGGAACCAGGTTTAATGTAGCTAGAGCAGCTAAGATTTAACTGTCCTGGGTGTACCTTGAAAACAGTGATCAGAGCAAAACTGAGAACAACAACATTTTAGGAGAGATGACTTTGGAATGGAGGATGGGCAGAGATTGAGAAGGACATTCAGTGCTTTGACAACCACTAAAGCAGAGCCAGTTTTTCGTTAACTTCCCAGTAGGAAGGTTTGAGTAACAGACACTCTTGAATATATGACCTCAAGCTTTCATTTTATTGCCAAGTGATATCAAATATTAATGGAACTGACTATGACAACCTCAGTTTTTAATACTAGTGTGAAATCACGTCCTCCCAAAGGAATCCTGGGTGTGTACACACTTTAAAAGAACCCAGAATCATCTCAGTATCATCACATGCCTTTTCCAAGTGGGGATGATAATGATGATCTTAATAATGAGGATTAGCTGCACTCATTGGCTCATTTTAGAGCATGTATTATTAGAACACCTGGACTTTATTCAGAAACTGATGATGTCTTGTGCCTTGGTTTTCTGAGTGTAGTATTTGTTAAGGAAAAGCAGGCCTTAACTATGCCAACAAATCTATCTTGACTAGATAGTTCTTACTGCTTTGCTACTTAGTTCATATTTTGATAGAGATGTGCTATGCTTTTTGGGAAAAGATTTGTGTGAATTGAAAGTTAATTACGTTTGAAGTACTTTGGAGTAAGGAATGAATGTTTGGGGCAGGTAGGAGAAAAGATTTGGCATCAAGAGTTCTTAGCAAATTAAAAATCATTCTGGAAGGCTGGGGAGATGGTACAGGAGTTAAGGTGCTTGCTTGCTTTGCACTTTGTTAGCCCTAGTTTGATCCCTGGCACGGTATATGATTCCCTGGGAACCTCCAGTAGTGAGCCAGAAAGAACTGCTGATTTTTCACAAAACTGCATTTGGTTGCATGACTCCACATGGGGTTATGGCCCACAGCTGAAGAAGTTAAGCTTTAGAGCAGTCACTTTCAACTTTTATTTGGTGGAGGGTGGGGAGGTAGGACACATCCAGTGACGCTCAGGGGTTACTGCTGGCCCTGCACTCAGGAATTACTTCTGGCGGTCTTGGGGGGACCCTACAGGATGCTGGAGATTGAACCCAGGGACTCACATGCAAGGCAAGGGCTGTGGGGCCAAGCTGCATCCCAGGCCGATACATTTTTTTAAACCTCACTTTATGGCAAAAAAATTTTTTTTATGTTTGAAACTTTATTTCAACACTGTGATTTACAAAGTTGTTTACAATATAATTTGGAGTATTCAATGTTCACATACCAGTGGTACTACCAATATGACATTCCGGTCTACCAGTGTCCACAATTTCCCACCCCCAAGACTTCCCTCTAAGCAGGTACAAAATAATTTATATTACTTGTTACAAAATGTATCTCACATTGGTGTTACAAAAGTCATTGTCTGAGGATTTACTGGGATGTTTGGTGCTAGTGAAGCCTTTTGTGTTACCTTTTTCACTCATTGAGCTTAGTGGGCTTCTACACAACTTTCCCATTTGATTTGCTGTGCTCCTACTGGGCTGTTAGTACTGTGAAATTATGCGGTTGCACCTTCCAGGAGCTGTGGAACTGGGAGGATTCAGCAGCTTGGCATCTCTTTGAGATTATTTGTGTAGTTGTGAAGCTGGGCCGTTTGTATGCCAGAGGATGTTGGCAGTGCGTGGGGTGCTGGACCTTTCGGCAGGGCAGAGACTCGGCTTCTCGCATCCCGAGAAGGCTCCAGAGATCTAAACCTGGAGACCACACTCACTTGGAACAATTCAGTGGGGTTCAGAAGTTTAATATCATCACCTAATACACAAATGCAAAGTAAATTGAAACAAGTTTCATGAATCTATAGTTGCTTTTAGTGTTCATGATATATATACTATTTTCTATTTTGTTTTGTTTCATTAGGAAATCCTGCTGCTTGCTTACAAACGATGAAGCTGGTTTTGAGACCCATTCTGACTCTGAACAGTACTTCTAGAACACCAAAGTAGAAAGGGAACTGACATCTGTTGTATCACATTGTGTCAGGTTATACCAAGTAGTTTATATTCATTTTTTGTACCCAAATCTTTTTCTTTTTTGTTTGTTTTAGACCATGCCCAGAAGGTGCTCGAGGGATCATATGGTGCTTGGGATCGAACCCAGGCCTCCTGCCTATAAAGCAGTGAAGCATGTGCTTGGCTTGTTGAGCTCTCTCTCCAGCCCCTCTATTTGATTTTTACCCATTTATGAGGTAGCTTTCATTTTTAAGGTAAGAAAGCAATCTCCAAGCATGGAAAAAAAACAGCATTTTTCTACTGGGGGCTGTAGGCCCCGCCCCTGGGAGACCACAAGTAAAATTTATATAAGTGGATCAGGGAATTTCAGCAAGGGGTCCACAAGAAGGATCTGTGGAGGGAACGGGGCCATGGTTGGGAGAAGGTTGAGAAACACTGAAATAACACAGTAAATGATGGCGCGGGGATTTGAATCCAGCTGACCTTGACACCCAAGCCTTCTATGTTCTGTGTAATCCTCTTTCACCCATAAAGACTCTGTAAAGAAGCCCCGCAAAGTTGCTGAGGACTGACAACCCTTCCCACCACTCACTCAGTATTCTTGATTTGTCAATAAAACAATACCAGTGCAATTATTACATTATTTCTTAGATAAAGTGATTCTCTGATCATCCAGCTGTGGACAAGCTGCTTATTTTCATTAATATTTAATCGGATATTTGAGTACCATATTGGTACTCAAAGTTGTATCATTTGCTTGATCTGAATACTGTTTTGAAATCAGTTCTTTAAGTTTATTAACTTCTGTTACTTTTTACTTAATAGGCTTAGACATTTCAACTATACTTTCTTATATAAATTGTTAAACTAGGTCTCCCTGTTTTTGTGTAATGAAAGTTTTGAACTTACATGATTTTTAGACTGGGGGTGTTGCTCAATGATAAGATCACAATCCTTGTGCACTGGAGGAGGGATGGGTGTTTGATCATTGTATGACTGAAACTCAATCATGAAAGCTTTGTAACTATCTCACTGTGATTCAGTACAAAAAAGTTAAAAAAAATCACAATCCTTGCATGTCTGAGGCCTGGGTTCAGTTCCTGGGGTGAGGGGGTGGGGTGGGGGAGGGGGAAGACTTTTTAATTAATCTTAATTCAGCACCTAGTATTATCTTTTTCCTGTCATTTCGTGTTTAGTTGGATGACCTATTGGTTCACAATAGGTTATTCATAAAAATATTAAAATGACACAGAACTCTGAGGTGTGCAATTCTCCTTATTCCTAGGAACAATCAGTCTCTTCATCAGTACATGTGAATCCATTCAATAACTGTTAGTTCCACTTACTATTTTCAAGCCTATATTCCCTTCTGTATGGATATTTTGAGAGATTTTGCCAAACGATTTTGTAATTAAGCTATCCTATGCCTATGGGGTTCTCTACCTGCAGTGAAATAAACCTGTCATAACAGAAAATGCAATTTGGCTTGACATTT